TATTAAATTTAAATGCACATGTGAGCGTTGCAACAGTTACCTGTGACAATAAATAAATGAGCGTAATCAGCTGTATCTTCAGTGAGTCCCTCATCCTGCATAGTTGTTCTCCAGCAGCTCAGAGTTCAGCTGCTTATGCTAAATGAAGCAGGTTCTCCAAGTTCTGGTTAGAGAAACACTCCAGGTTGTAATGAATATCCAGAAAAGAGCAAGAAATTCTCTCGTTTTCCAAGAGAGTGTTCGACAATTAAACATAACCATCATAACGATAACCAGTGGGTGGGTCACGGTGGCAGCATCCTAAGCAGAGAAGCCCAGACCTCCCTCTTCCTGGCAACTTCCTCCTACGTATCCAGGGAAACACCAGTGCATTCCCAGCCTAGAGAAATAATCTGCCCCAGGGCCTCCTCCCGTGGGACACCTCATCTAGTGGGTGCCCGAGGCATCCTAGTCAGATCCCCAAACCACCTCAACTGGCTCCTTTGGATTTGGAGGAGCAGTGGCTCTACTCTGAGCCCATCTCAGATGGCCGAACTCCTCACCCTATCTCTAAGGGAGAGCCCAGCCACCCTTCAAAGAAACCCCATTTCCGTCACTTGTATCCACAGTCTCGTTCTTTCAGTCACTACCCACAGCTCGTGACCATAGGTAAGGGTAGGGATGCAGATCAGCTGGTAAATCGAGAGCTTCGCTTCTACGGTCAGCTCTCTCTTCTCCACGATGGACCGGTACAGCGTCCGCATCGGGCAGCCGCAGCACCAATCCATCTGTCGATTGCCTGCTCCCTTCTCCCCACACTCGTGAACCACCCTTTTCCGGCTGAAAACGATGGCCTCAGATTTGGCGGTGCTGATTGTCTCAAACTGGGCTGCGAACCAGTCCAGTGCGAGCTGGAGGCTGTCACCTGATGAAGCCAACAGAACCACATCATTTGTGAAAAACAGTGGAAGTGGAAGCCTTCCGCCACTTGCCTACATCTAGAAATTCTGTCCAAGACAGTTATGAACAGAATCATGACAAAGGGCAGCGTCCAACACCTACCGGAAACTCA